ACTCCAAGCCCGTAGCGGGCCGGTATTGCACATTTAGCCCACGAGCCCGGGACCGCTAAGCCCGGGACCGTCAGGCGGGCCTGGGCCGGTTCAACCGGGCCTAACGGGCCTCAACGGCTATAATTTAAAAAAAAAATTTAAAAAAATGACCAACGGTCAAATTTTAAAATCTAGCCGTTGGCCATCAAAAAAGAGCCGTTTGGGACTTTAAAAAAAAGCCATTTGGCCCCCAAACTTTATTTTAACCCCAAACTTTATATAATTACACATTTTTCCAATTCTCAACTATAAATACCCCCTCATTCTTTCATTTTTACTCACAAATTCATCAATCTATATCTAATTCTCTTCTATAATTGCTTATTTTATTATTGCAATTTCGTGAAAAATTGTGAAGTTGGTGAATTGAAGTATTCAAGTCTTCAAGTCTTCAACGATTTTCAATTTTCAAGAAGTTGTTCGGCAATTCGGTAAACTCGTTCCAACTCTTAAATTTTAAGAATATATTTTTGTGTGTTTTAGTTTGCATATTAATTTTTAAGGCTAATTAATATGGCATTTTCTTTGAAAAAAATGTTTGGTGGTAAGGGAAAATCTAAAATTGGTGAAAGTAGTCGCCAACCTACTACCCTTCCCCCGGCTCCCCGACCCAGACCTGTTACCCGTCCTCCTGCACCTATTATTCTTGATAGTGATAACCCTTGTTTTCAATTTTCCGATAGTGAATTTTGCCATAATGTTGCACCAGGTCAACAATTAAATGATGAAGTTATAATGCTCTTTATCCTAATGAAACTATTTTTGAAAATGATGATGAAAATGATGATGTAGATGAAACCCAACCGGATTTAGATGATACACCTACTAGTCCTGTTAATAACCCAACTAATGCCCCGTCCGACCCACCTGTAGAAACCCCTACTTTTAATAGACAACCTTCTAAACGCCCCGAAACATCACTTGTTTGGAATTTTTTTACTCAATTAAGAGAACAAAATAAGGCTAAGTGTAAAACTTGTGGGAGTTTGCTGGCGCATAAATTTACTGGAGACCGTAGCGGTACGGGTAGTTTGGCTAGGCACATAAAAACACACCCTAGAGATAAAGCTAAATTTTTACAAATGAAAGCGCAGCTAGAGGGGACAAGTGTAGATACTACGGTTAACCCTAGTACATGTTCAAATCTAGTTCAACCAGGAATTAACATTGTGACCGGAGATAGACGAAGCTTATGAAGAAATGATAGCGGAACTTGCGGAGGATGCTGCTTCGTCTGGAAGCGGTGATGAACAAGCTTCTTTTCCGCCACCACCAACGGAACCTCCTCCGAACCTTGAAGGATTTATGAAATTTGTTAGAGATACTATGTAGATTATGGTGTAACTTGTACTTTGGCACATCTTCTTTAGTTTTTTTTCCTTTTAATGGTGGTATTAGCACCTTGTTGTGCTCATTCCATTGGGGGGAGGAAGACTAAGAAAGATATGCCATTTTTGTTAATAAAAATTATAAGACATTCCCTTGAATATCTCTTTGCAATATTTTTTTGTCTTTAACTTGCAATTCTATATAAGCTATAATATACTAACATACTATATATACTACAAGACATTACAAGAAATTATATAAGGAAATATATATACATAACATACTATATATACT